AGAGTGATGCGTGTGGGATATCCAGGGTGATCCAGTGTATGTGAACAGTGAGATGTTTGGGCGCTGAAGTCGCCATAGCCATTTGAGAGTGAATTCGTATCTGAAGCCATATCTCTGAGTTTTGAGTGGGCGCATGTCGCCAGTGTGCTGTGTTACTGTTTACATGTGTGAAAAGTGTGTTTGAACACAAGTCTGATTGCAATTACACCCTAAACCATCACCAGTACAGTATCGGTATCATCGATCCCATACCCAAAACACCATTGCCAAGTATCATGCCATGATCTCTCGAGAACGCCCACTCAGATTAGAGAGAGAGAGAGAGAGAGAGAGAGAGAGAGAGAGAGAGAGAGAGAGAGAGAGAGAGAGAGAGAGAGAGAGAGAGAGAGAGGCTACCCATGCACACACCACAACCCCATCACACATCCCCTTGCCGTAGCAGCGAACCTCCCACTTGCACCGAAGAGTAACCAGTATGCGATCAGGCAAAACTGCTCGACTATGATGCAGTCGCACAACACAGCCCTACCATACATCCCCTTGTCGTAGTAGCGAACCTCCCACTTGCATCAAACAGTAACCAGTACGCGATCCGGCAAGATTGCTCAACTATAATGCAGCCGTTTCTCATAAAAAGAACGGAAATACACCTCATAGCTCTTCCCATCCTTATCACCCCAAAAAAAACACAGGACTGCATTTCATGCTTTGCAGAATCTTGGCGCAGGGATAGAGCAATTCAACAACTCCGCTCGAAGGGTGTGATAGCAGCAACCGCGATGCTCGAGTAACGCCGGCATCGACAAGAACGATAGGTAAGCAATAATGGCCAGCACCAAGCATATGGATAACCACGCAGACTCCATGTTTCGTCAGCTAATGACTCGTATTCGCCCTCAATGCTTGACTTCCTCCTTCTGGAAAACAAGATCCTATATCTCGCCACAACACAAGAACAGATATGCGCAAATCGCCACGCACAATACGCCAATCACATACACACACATCCACACGCATATGCATACCCACCTACACGCTCACCCACACATACACACAGATATACATACATCCACGCAGATTCATCAACGTTAAATCCACACACAACATTCATTCGGGTGGGGAGTACACGAATTAAGACTTAGATTCCCCCATTCAGCCACGCGACCCTCAATAGTCGACATTTGGAGGGAGGGTAGTGGTCAATTCCCTAAAGTACTTTTCACCGGTACCACCAAACCGGCTCATCAGAGGGGCAAACCATCTCCAATATGCTCCGAAGGGGGGGGAAAAAACCATGAAAGAGATTGGCCCATATACAGAACCTATCACATTCCGGCGATTCAGAAATTACAAAGAGAGGGCATAGGGGAATGAATACAAGAAAAAGGCCCGGAGAAGCACTCATTCATTACCGTGCCGGCATCCATGATAAGGACACCCTGAACGAAGCAGCCCAAGAGTTCGCTGCGCTCCCTTTTCACTCGCGATGCCAAAATCACTCCTGTGGTACTCACAGTATCTATCCTGTTGACCTGCGTTCCGCACGTACCTGCTTTAATGCCAAAGTTCCGTCCGTACTCCCGTGCTCTATTTCCTCAACACTCATCACTACTCCTCAAGCTGCCACCCCAAGAGCCATGCTTATGCCAATCACCCCCTTTCCACACCCTCCTCGTCACTTCCACTGCTACTCCCGCAATTCTCCCATCACCTTCTCATCAGGTGAGTCACTGCCTGGACACACGCCCATTCATCGCCCTCCCGTGCACCAATGTCAGGGCGCCAAACACATAGCGCACACGTATTACGTTGGCTTCACCAAAAAATCACTCCGCAATGGATCACGTGTAACGCCGTACTGCGTTATGCACATCGCCGTTCCCTCTCACCGTACTGCTGGTACCCAACATTGATGATGCCGAAACCTCGCCGCGACTACGCCTCAGATCAATGCGTCGGCAAGTCCACGATTCCTACCTCGAGACAATCAGGATACCAGCAGACCAGGAGCCATTGCCTGGAGTAGGAAATTTTCCTTACGCAGGCGATAGCACCGGCCGCCGGAAGAGGATTCTACCAATGTTCAGAAGATGTATATATAGGCCCTTTTCGGTGGGTGATATTCTCAATTCGGTGCGACGAGCAGGCATCAGACCAGGTTTCAAAAAAACTCTCTCTCGGGAGGAGGGAGGAGGGGAGGACGGGGGAGGGACCGGAAAAAGAATTTTTACCCATACCCATGGTCAGATCGATACCTTCAGATAAAAGGGAGGCCCTGCTGTCCCACGCATAATCGTGTTCCGCTGGTAAAAATCCCCCTGAAATAAGCCGGAAGGTACCTCCAGCTATTTTTCCTTTCGGTTTATGACTGAGGCCAGGCTCATACGAATGAATGAATTTATGGGTATGCATGTGTGTGTGTGTGTGTGTGTGTGTGTGTGTGTGTGTGTGTGAGAGAGAGAGAGAGAGAGAGAGAGAGAGAGAGAGAGAGAGAGAGAGAGAGAGAGAGAGAGAGAGAGAGAGGCAGGCAGGCAGACAGGCTGCTGTGGGCCAGTGCTGATCATTACTTGGGTAGGCCCTAAAATAGCATCCAGGGAGCATCATCTTTGTAAAGGGGAAATCCATGAACCCACTGCAGACCCCTCATGTGTATTAGTGTGGCTGTTCAACCTCCTGGACCCAGAAGAAGTATGTTGTTCTGATGACCGAATGGTGATGTCTGTGACGCTATAAGTGGTTGCATTTAATTGAGTGCGTTCTCACACTTGTATAGCTCCATCATTTAGGTGCAGTGATCTTGCTGTATTTCCGACACTCTGGCATGCTGTTGGTTGACTCTTCCCGCTGTGTGTATCGCTCTGCCGCTAGGTGGCGTCAATTGTGGCGAAGTGTGTACATGACGATCCAGATTTGCGTCCAGATATGTCGGTGGTTAGACACATGTTGAGACGCGTTCTTTATGGTGATTATCGTGACACGTCACGAAACCTGCACACGCGGGGCTCCACAAGTCACAGTACAGGTGGACATGGCAATGGCGGCAGCAGGGGTTGCCCGGATGAAAGTGCTCCGAAGAGCAACGAGGCATGCGTGACAGGTGATGATGATGGTGGTGGTAGTGATGATTCATGCAAGTTGACAAAAAGCACAGGTGCAACAGCACGTCGTAGCAGGCCTTCCCCCAGAGTGCAGGAAAGAGGCAAGAATCTGCAGGAGGAAGACTTCCGGAGCACAAAAGTGCAAAGTAGGTTCGCTGGATGGTCGAAGTGTGAGCGGCGGGATGATAATAGTGAGCGTTTGGAGAGGGAGAGAATTATAAGGAGAGAGAGAATGAAGACCAATCCAGATCTTGACCTGCCATCTGAGGGTGAGGAGGTGATAGGCTTTCCAACACATAACGGAATGTTTGTAGCAGAGGACATGGAGGAATCCGATGTGAAGAGTGTACATTTACTCGACCGATTTCGTAGGAACAGTGTAGAACGTCTTGGCAAAAGCAAAGATATTGATGCAGAACTTTTGAGAGACAGTGAAAATTGTGATGGTAACCCGCTTGGAGAAAGTGATGAGAGAAGCCATAGACTTTTGAGAGAGAGTGAAGGGGACGGTGCATTTTCTGTGCGCACTGTGTCAGAAATAGAAGCTGAAACGACTGTGTGCAGCTCCATGGACAGGGAGGAAAAGGAGAGACTGTTTGATGACACAAAGGGTTTTAAAGGTCTTGCAAAAGACTTGGCATGGAGGGGAGGGTTGGAGCACGGTGCAGAGAGGCATTCTGCAGAGGAAGCTGAAACATTGGACGAGCGTATGCCCTTGATGACGGACTCGCCCTGGTGTGAAATGCGTGGTGGCATGGCCAAGGATGGACACTGCAAGTTGGAAGGTGGTTTACCAGTTTGCCCGCCATGCACCTTTCACCAGCCGATCAGAAGGGAACCATTAGCTGTGAGGCCTGGAAACCCAGTGCTCGATAACTTTGGCCACGGACTTCCAAGGACGAACAATTTTCAAGAGTATTGGCCACGCTGTTCAGAGGAGGCTTCTCCTGGCACCAGAAAGGAAGGCAAGAATGTGTTCTCCTTCTTGCCTTCACAGGTCGAGCAGTTTGTGAACTCGTGCAGCGATTCGAATCCCCATGAGGGACGGCCAGGAAGATCTCAGTCCGCAGATGCTGTGCTATCGCCGGACAAGTCCACTGCTCAGGCAAACGGTAGGTGGGAAGAAGAAATACTGCAGGAATGGACAAAGAGGACCGAAAAGATGGAGGTGGGAATTGCAGCAGGCAAAGTAGGTGAGGACAGGAAGCCGTTGTGGGCGGAGAACGCTGGCCTGAAAGACCAGAGTCCCATAAGAAAGGCCAGTCAGGGTCATCTTCCAGCTGTGTGCCTCGCAGTGGGTGAAGTACAGAGGTGGATGTGAGGACGAAAGCCCCACGGTTACACCATGCCTTTTTGTGATTGGTCTCTGGTCTCTATACTGCTGGAGTAAAGTCTGGTGTAAGAATAGAGAGCACCGCATGTAATCCATAACAAGGACGTACACTCTGAGCAATGCTGTTACAGAAAATTGTTGTGGTTCTGATGTCTTAGGTGCACAGAGATGTGTGTGCTATTCGTTCACTTGCAAGATCTGAGGATTGGTCTCTGGAGTCTCTATACTGCTGGAGTAAAGTATGTTGTAAGAATAGAGAGCACCGCATGTAATCCATAACAAGGACTCCAACAGCACGGTCTTAGGAGAGGTCATTTGTGTCGGCTGTGTCTATGTGGAGAGAGCTCATGACTGCGTTGATGATGGTGCCAGTGATGGCACTCTGTACATGTGAGAGCTTTTTTTTTCCCCTCGTTTTATGGGCATGTCAACCCCACTTGACTAAGTATCGGCTTTTTTTTATCCTGCAGTTTTACCACATTTTTGGAAGAGTTCCACAGCACCATGACTCCTTGACCGATCGTTCAATGTTGGAAAATGAGGCACACATTTAGCAGGCCGGATACCCCACACCTCCATGTTCGTTCCTTGGTCACCCGGAGTTATTATCACCTACCTCTTGGACTTGCTCTCCCAATAAAATGAATTCAGCACAATGATATTCATTTGGGTGTGGCCGTTGGCCAATTTAATTTTTTGACCTCTCTCGAAGTGTAAGTAGTGCACCACATGTCAAGGGCTGTTGCTTAGTCTTCATGGTGTCGATAGTGTGCTAGCTGATCCATGGGTTGATGAATATGGCGATAGTGTGCTAGCTGATCCATGGGTTGGATGGACTGCTTGATTTGATTCAGACTAGTTTTGTTGCTTGGGTGATGGGCACGTAGATTATGGGCGGAGCGCGTCGATTTGCAATCTGATGATATGCATCTGTTAACGAGTATCACAGTGTTTGAGTGGCGTTACGGCGTTGTCCAACTGACTCCAACAGCACGGCCTTTGCATCTTTCCCAGACTTGTTAACTCTTCAATTTGATTTTCCGTCCCAAACTGTCCCAGGCCAGTAGGTTTTTTTCAGTTCTACTTTTTGATACGGGAGAGCATCTTGCCTACTGGATGAACAGCTGCTATTGCGGTGCGGAGTGCCATATATACTAAGGGCACTGTTTTCTCATTCATCGACTCCTGCAGGATGGCGGTGGCATTGCTTACTTGACGGGAAAAGCCGTTCAAGTGAAGAATATGTTCCCTCCCCGAAAAGCGCCAAGACTATTGTTGTCACATCAGGCTAGGATCATCCTGATCAGGCTAGGATCATCCTGATCAGGCTAGGATCATCCTGAGTATGTCCTCCTGATCGTCCCCTCTGCATGGCTTCGAACTGGGGGTTAGGATGGCCAACACCCATCCAGTGTTCCAGCCATGTGGGTGAATTCAGGATTGCCCTGGTTGCATTGTGCTAGGATTGTCCTGGATACAATAGGGCCCGTATTGTCCGGTTTGCGCTGGGCTAGGACCACACTGAATGTGTCCCACGCGGGCCCAGGAGTCAGGGTGACTATTTCTTGTTAGGATCAGCAGTGCCTGTCCAGTGATCAGCTGTGTTCTTTGGTCGATCCTCTGCAGCGATATGACATGACGGTGCATTGCTTGGTAGTCGCAGTTCATTTCAACAATGAGAGCAACGGATGTCACAATGAAAGAAAAAGAAAGGCTACCAAGTAGCAGTTCATTTCACTATTTATTTGTAACCTGAAACATCGATGTTCTTTGTGCGTAGTTTAGTTTGATGGAAAACTTGTGTCATGTGGATGTCTGCGATTTCTCCTTGGTGGAAAGCAAACATATGCGATGAGCTTTGGTGTTAGAGGCCTTCAATAAATTATGAATGAGTCCGAACAACTGAAACAATAATGTCCGTGTGGGGAATTCATTGTGGGCCAAATAACCAAGTAGGATGGAGCTGGGCACCGGGATGCTCTACTTTGGATGTGGAATGGCTACATAGGGCCTTACTCCAGTACTCAACATTCAAAAAGTATCTGGACTGCTGCACAGGCTGGATACATTTGGACTGGTCGAGCATTCTGAAGTTCTGAACGTAGCTATCAGGTTCAGATGCATTTACTATGCTGTTCAGTAAAGTGAGGCCCGTAGTTCATGGGATTATAATCTCAAATGCTCCGTCCTTTGTCTATTGGTTAAACCCGTCTCAAATCCTCTGTCATTTGTCTGTTGGTTGAACCCGACTCCTTATTATCCTGCATACACAAATATTACACATACTATGAAAATAATAATAAAACGTTGAATTAAATGAATTCGGAATTTCCCTGCTACGGCTAGAGTCTAGAGGGATAATTGCAATGGCGAGAGGAACATCCACTACAAGACTGCCAACAAGAGGGATACCCACAATTTAAAATAGTTAAATAAATAAATAATTTTCCGCGCTGCTCATAAGCACCGTAGTGTGGGTGTGGGTGTAACACACGGACATGCTAAGGGTGTTTTTTCATGAGGACAGCTTTTCTGCATGAATTCTGAGGCAAGAATCTTGCCGCAAGATTGTCCTCATGAGTCATGAATTAATTCTGACTCTTTTCTGAGGCAAGATTGTCCTCATGTCCAAGCAGACTGATGACTTTACTAGTATAACATGTACTCATCAAGACACTTGGTGTCGAGTAGCATATGATCCCTGTATCCTGATTACCTTGGTTGGCGTAGCCCTCTAGAAGCACTTTTCGGTGGGTACCTAGGAGAGCGTAGTTCCATTCCCTTCTTTGCCCTATTCTCGTGCCCTCTTCATTATGAGTGAAAACAGTCGGAGATCCTCGTCTTTGGTTCTTCTCCACTCATCTGGACATCTTTCGTGTCCACGATTCCGTCCACACCTCGATGGAGATATGCAGTGTGCGAATGCTGGTTGTACAGAGCTGCTGCTGACGGATCAAGTGGATGCGGTCATCGGTGGGGGCTTACCACCGCAGTTTTTGCCAGAGAATCGGATGTTGAGAAGATTGTTAGTAGTGTAGTTCTCCGACTGGAATGTTGATGATGTTACGAACTTGGTTGTCTGACGAATTTTCTCGCCACTCACACACAGACAGTCTCATACATGCACAAGAGATGGGGAGAGAGGAGACAGAGTCCACACTGCACACAGGTGAAGATAAACAGCGGAAGACAATTATGCACAGCAGGGGAGAAGACACACAGTGTTTCTCACTCTCTGACACAACTCCCAACAACCAATCACAAGAAAGAACCTGCGAAGATCACAATTGAAACTGTCACTGATGATGAGCCACTCCCACTATTATCGTAACAGAGTTTGTTCCAGTATCTCGCCACACCCAAACTCACACCCCACTCCCTATCCTACACCCAGTTAGTAGCGCTATGTCAGAACAGCCTCCCAGAGGCCAGTGCCAACCACCCCGATGAAGAACAGGTCCTGCGATGAAGTCTTCAGTGCCGCTGGACAACTCTGACCGAGGGTCCACAGGAGACTACTATGGGAGCTCCGAAACCAATCCCGAAGCGAAGATTGAGTTTCCCGCAGTTCTTTTCATTTTTGCCTCAGAAATTGATCTTAGATTTCTGGCATTATATTATAGTGGACTCCTTCCTGAGCCTTTGAGAACATTTACCTACGGACAAGCTATCGGTATCTCCCATTTCGCTCGCCGCTACTCAGGGAATCGCTTTATCAAATTGTAAATAACTGCCATCTTTTCGGTATTTGGTGGCTTTTTTTGTTTCCACTACAATAGCTTTAAGCACATTCTGAGTGTTGCGACCCATTCGTGCTTTTCACAAATCCCATTGGTTGAAAAGAATCACAGACTTTTTGGCGTTCTGAGCATTTTGTCATTTTCATTTAAGATAAATAACAGATGCATATATGAAATTTTCAATATAGCAATTGTAAAACAGGAAAACTCAACAGAATAGCCATGATTTTGAGTAACCAGTGACTTAGCTATGGATGGTTTAATTAAAAAAGTGTCATTTTAATAAATCACTAAAAATCCTACTCTATGTTTTTGAATATTAAGATGTTTCAGTTCACCAGGTTCTCTCTTATCCGCCTATGGATTCAGCGGCAGTACAAGGGGTTACCCCATTCGGGAATCTCCGGATCTATGCCTGTTTTAGACTCCCCGAAGCATTTCGTCGCTTACTACGCCCTTCTTCGTCTCTTTTTATCATCCAGTTTTACTGAATCGTGCACCTACTTTACATAGGCTAGGTATACAAGCTTTTCAACCTATTTTAGTTGAAGGAAAAGCAATTTTATTACATCCATTAGTATGTACTAGTAATTGAGATAGAAGTTGTTATACAAATTCTAAATAAGAAATTTACAATGAAACTACATTCTTTTTCTATCTACTTCGATGAAGTAGATAGAAAAAGAAGAAGAAAATGAAATACTCACTTTACTAAGAAGTAGATTGTATTGTATAAGAAATATATATATATCTTTACTAATTTATAACTAGTAGAAGCTTTTTAAAGCTTGTGATATCAAGAATTGCTATCTGTGCAAGCATCTTACGATTCAATAATACTTTGTGACTTTTTAATAAAAAAATCAAGTAGCCCGGCCATACGCAGATACCCCCAGGGGTAGATGCGCTGAGGATGCCCCAGCTGTGGCAAGCTCAGAGAGGGCCGGCTATGGCTGCTGTTGCGGCCTGTCTCAGGATGCCACCGGTAAACAGGTACCGCCACCAACTTGCTTGGCTTCTCCAACGCTGTTCGCGAGAAATGAACTGTCGAAAATCCTGAACCGATGAGCCTAACCTATCTATAGGCTCTCTAGACCTAGACCGGACTGACTGACCGACCGGTACTGTTGCTGTTTTTCGGCCTCTCGGCCCCTACCGGACCCGACTATAGGCTATAGGACCGTCTAACAGTATAGGCCGCTTAGGGCCTGTCTGTCCTAGGGGTAGCCCGGGCCTGCTTTAGGCAGTTAGGGTAGCTGTAGGAATTTGGTAGTACCGGGCCTGTATTTCCCCGGATTTGCAGATCTGTCCCTCACGAATTCCCTTACAGGCAGGTCTCTCGGTTAGCCCTCAGCCAAACAAAATTACGAAACTAACCTACCGGGTTAGTGTACAGCCTCGCTGTCAATCTCGGCAGCATGTACTCGTCAAGACAGTTGGTGTCGAGTAGCATATGATCCCTGTATCCTGATTACCTTGGTTGGCGTGGCCCTCTAGAAGCACTTTTCGGTGGGTACCTAGGAGAGCGTAGTTCCATTCCCTTCCTTGCCCTATTCTCGTGCCCTCTTCATTATGAGTGAAAACAGTCGGAGATCCTCGTCTTTGGTTCTTCTCCACTCATCTGGACATCTTTCGTGTCCACGATTCCGTCCACGCCTCGATGGAGATATGCAGTGTGCGAATGCTGGTTGTATAGAGCTGCTGCCGACCAGAATGTTGATGACATGACAGCGGTATATGTGTTTCTGCCTGCTACGATGTGCATGGACCAACCTTTCGGACTGACTGCCTCGCCTTTTCTTTTGCTTTCCCGCTCTCATGTGCATGTCACCCTTAGCTGTTTTTCCAACTCCCAAACCAGATATGATTGTGATGGTTAGACATGCAGGCTATGTGAATGTCCAGGGATTGCGCATGGAG